TATATATATATATATATATATATATATATATATATATATATATATATATATATATATTCATAATTAATTCAACAAAGAGTTAGTTTTGTGTGTGTGTGTGTGTGTGTGTATATACAGTATATATGTGTATGTTTGTATTTATATATATGTAAACTTTAAAACTAACTTCATATAAATGATTTCTTGGTATTACACATTTACAACATTTTTTCACAGTACAAATGGGTCTTTATACATTATGTGGATCTGTTGTATCAAATAGTTTCAAAAACCCTTATCTAGACTCCTATAACAAAGTTGAGGAAGTGTACCAGAACTAGAACATATCCAAAGAAGCCAGTACTTTCCAAGCAATGATCCAAATTGCTCTCCAAGAAGTCCATGATGCAAAAAACATGTGGCAGCAAAGAATGGCCCCTTTTTTTTTAATGCACAAGGAAATATTCTTCCGTGCCTTATGATCTCCTCCATGTCCTAAACTTCTCCAGCATAACTCAGTGTAATGTGTTCAAGGTCAGAGTAGCTGCCGAGATTCTCCGCAGCAGTGACTGTGATGGCAGATGTTTAGCAGCCCCTCCTCATCTAGCCGGACAGCCCCCACCTGCCCACCCCTGACCCCTATCTTTAGACCTCAGGACCCGTGGCCTGCATTCCCTAAGAAGATCGTTCTCTTGGTCTGAAAATACACGCTGTCAGCATCCTCTCACACTGGCCATCAGTGCACGCCATGTCCTCTCGCCAAAGTCTCCTTTTTCTCAATCCCGGTGTGAAATCTGAGGATCAGAGTGTTCTAGAACCTGATGCCTGTTATTTCATCAGTGGGTTCTGCTGTTTCGGCAGCACATGTTTTGCCCGCTTCAATCGTCCTGCCCTGGAAAGCTTTTCTTCAAGGAGCTTTGTTAACTGTTAGCTGTATGTCTGAATCTCTCTCCCAGTTGGTTGAATGGAGTGTGCGTGTGTACAAATATCCATGCAGTCAGTGTCACGGTTCTTTGGTTTCCCAAATCGAATGTTATCTAGTGTTTTAAGATGTTGATATTTGAGGTCACAGAGGGTCAGATTGTTTCTACCAGCAGTGAAATGAAATTAAACTGTGTCGGAACAGCTACGAAAGGCATACGAACTGTTCTTATACTTTTGTTGTGTAAGCTATACTGTTATGTACATTGCATTAAACGTTTGATTGACACTATTTTGCAGTATTTGTTCATTTGCTATATTAATGGTATGCTTCATTTGCAGCCGACCCCTCCCTCCTCTCGGCCGATCCAGCAGCCGCCGGTGACCAGCAGACCGCTTGTTGAGAAGCAGCAGATAGGTGAGCTTTCACTCTGTTCAGTGTCAGGTCTGAACTGATCTGTCTGTAAAACATCAGCTAGTTTGACAGCACAGCCCATCAGTAGTATTTATTGCTCTGTTGAACACTTAAGTGGCTCTTTTTCTTCGTTCAAACTTGGTGTAATACATTTTTGTGTTTTTCTGGGTTCATTTACAACTTTCTGATTCTGTCATTTTGTTCATGAAAGAAAATTAATTAATCAACCTCCTTACTCAGAAAGTGTGCCAATGCTGGTTGAGCACTTTTAACTGTTTTACTGTTGTGACTGTACTGGTCAACCAGTTCATGCAGGTCTAATCTAGTGTTTTCAGCAGAGTTTTGAAGGCAGGGAAATTTAAAATGTAATCTCTGGTTTACTAATGCAGATATCATTCATGAAATAGTTTGCAAAGATTTCTTTGAGATGTGATAGACTAGACTGACTTTATAAAAACGGAGTGTTTTTATAGAAGCAGCCACTGTGGTATTTGGCGCCCTCTACTTGTGTAAAACAAATTGGACAGTGTCTTTTTACATTAAATTGCACAAGTATTCTGAAAAAGTTGAGTTATTCAGATTTTGTTATAGATGGCTTAAACCAAAGGATGGATTGTGGCCCATTATTGGCATAAGGCATTATTGCAATTTTGATGTATACAGATCAACATTGCCACTATTTAATGTAATTATGATTTTTTTTAACTCACGGTTGTTACTTTACTTATTATATTTGTGAAAATATCACAATTACAATCTCTGTCAATTACAAAGTTGAAAAACTGAAGTTTAATTATATGAGATACATGTTTTATATCACAATTACAGAATGTGAAGTCACTGATAATAATAATAATTATCAAACCAACATTATTGATATTCTTATTCTTATTATATTTTAAAAATAAGGTGTCAGGCTTTTTTTTACTCGCATCAATATAATCATACATATATATTTTATAATATAACCGTTTTTGTAAATGGTTTACTGAAGTGTGATCTTTCTTCAGAATGAGCTGAATTGGTAAGTTTTGTTGAACATTAGGCTCAGTCGATTCTTCTTGGCAAATTTCTGGCTCCTACGGTGATTCTCGACAAACATCCGGCTCATATGGCGGTTCTCGAAAAACATCTGGCTCATATGGGGATTCCCGAAAAACATCTGTCTCCCACGGTGGTTCTCGGCAAACATCTGGCTCATACGGTGATTCTGAACAAACTTCTGGTTCGTATGGTTATTCCCAAACAAACTCTGGATCGTATGGTGATTCTCGACAATCATCGGGCTCATATGATGGTTCTCGACAAACTTCTGGCTCATATGGTGACTCTCGACAAACGCTTGACTCAGTTGGTGTTAGCAGGCAAACTTCAGGGTCATATGATGATTCTAGACAAGCTTCAAACTCTTTAAGTACATCAGGCTCAGCTGGCGATGGCATACGGTATTCTGTGGAGTCCAGGCTCGGTCCTGCAGGTTCAACAGGTGGGTCGCTAATGAAGAGATCAAAATCTCTCAAATGGACATGGAATTTCTGGATAGAAATTCTCAGCAGAAATTCTCAGCAGAATCTCAGAATTTCTACATGATGCTTTGCATGAAAAGCTGGCAAAACGCTGTGGATGTGTAGAGATGCCCAAGAGGGACTGCAGCAGACTGGGAGCAAGCAGTAGAGTTGCTGCACATGTGTGGTGTTTATTGCTATAATTGTTATATTGTATTTGTATTGTTTTATCAAAACACTATGCTTATTGACCTGCTTATAGAAGCTTCTGCTGGTAGGCATATTCTTACATGAATATGTGGAGTTTGGCCCATTTTCCTTGAATATTGTCATTGTATTTTATTTGACTTTATTTGATTATTTCTTATCTTATCTTATCTTATGTAAAAAAAAAAATCTTGAAAAGAGGCTTCATTTTCTACATGCAATGTCTAATTTCTTATTTTGTTCTGTTGAATTTGGGGTGATTTTTTTTTTTTTTTAGATATTTTATATTTAGATATTTCTATTTTGCAGGAGTCCCGCGAATTATTTTATTCTCATGCATCCCGCACACACACGAGTCTCTACGCACAGCTACAGAACGCACACTTTTCTCTCTCCATGCTGAGTTTTTCGTTGGTAGTATCCGCCTCACAAGCACATACGTAAGCAGTCAAAGCAGGTCTCAGGTTGAGGACGTTGCATGTGCACCACCCTCTAAATGTTAAAACACTGCATTCTGTCAGCAATGATGTAACGCAGCAGTAACGCACAGAGACCTCGGCTTGGAACTATATGTAATTACTATTTTGGAAATTATAACACGTTAAATTACTCAGTTACTAAAAAAGTAATCAAATTACAGTAAGACGTTACTAAGTAATGCGTTACTGCCCAACACTGGTAATGTTCGTGCTCTGATTGTTTCTCCCTGTCATTTTGTGTCTTGTTAAAATCATAAAAATTTAAAAATAAATAAATTCAAAAAAGGATCTTGTTTTTTAAATAGGGACTTCCAGGTCCATCAGGTGCTGATGGAAAACCAGGCTTACCTGGCCCAAAAGGAGAAAAGGTAGGAAGTCCAGTCTCTTCTATTAAAACCTAAAAATGAACAGTGAATTTAACATTGTGGTTAATAAACTTTTTAAATAATATTCATTGTTCAATATTATTAATAATAATATTAAAATTAATTTTAATTTAATTTAATTTTAATTTGAAACCTGGAAAAACCTTAAAAATTCTTTAGAAATCTTTAGAAATTCTTTAGAACTCTCCATACATAGATAGCTGTGCTGCTCCTTTAATGGATTTGGACTTGCATAATTCAGCTCTGTTGAGATCCTTGTAATGGTAGCTATCTTTAGACACTGGACTGATTTTGGTGCTCCACAGGGTGATGCCGGTGAGCTGGGCCTACCTGGACCTGTGGGAGAGAAGGTCAGTTTGCGTAATATGTGCACCTCGTGAGAAACCTCTAAAACACTTGTGTACAGTATGCACATGTTCGTTTGCATATCACATATTTGAATGTTAAGTATAAAGGTTCTGTACAAGCTCAGCAATCTGTAATGCTCTGTATGCTTTTAATAGGAATTAAGTAAAAAAAAATATAGTCATAATGTCCTATCCAGGCGTGACGAAGCAAGATCCTATGAGAAGTAATCTGTCTGTCTTCACAATAATGATCACTAATATCCATGTATAATATATAGTTTTGTGGAGCAGGATTTTGTACAAGTGAGATTTCACTGTCAGCATCAGAGATGCAAACCTGTAGATAAAGAGATTTTTTTAGACTGTCAATTTTTTTTTTTTACTTTTTTTCAAAATTTCATTAAAACCTATTTGATTTTGCTATTTTCAATTATCTTTTATGTACAGATTTTTTTGTTTGTTTTACTCTTTTCCAAGACCCAGACTTTCAGTCTTAAAGCATGGGAATCTATAATTAAATGTTTTTTCCCCTTTTTTTTAAATCATAAAAATTACTTGACAATCATAAAAACAAATATGACTATTTAAGCAAAGTGAAATGATCATAAACCATTTCAGTATTTATAGTGTATAATGTCATAATGTCCTATCCAGGCGTGACGAAGCAAGATCCTATGAGAAGTAATCTGTCTGTCTTCACAATAATGATCACTAATATACATGTATAATATATAGTTTTGTGGAGCAGGATTTTGTACAAGTGAGATTTCACTGTCAGCATCAGAGATGCAAACCTGTAGATAAAGAGATTTTTTTAGACTGTCAATTTTTTTTTTTAACTTTTTTTCTAAATTTCATTAAAACCTATTTGATTTTGCTATTTTCAATTATCTTTTATGTACAGATTTTTTTGTTTGTTTTACTCTTTTCCAAGACCCAGACTTTCAGTCTTAAAGCATGGGAATCTATAATTAAATGTTTTTTCCCCTTTTTTTTAAATCATAAAAATTACTTGACAATCATAAAAACAAATATGACTATTTAAGCAAAGTGAAATGATCATAAACCATTTCAGTATTTATAGTATTTTATGAAAATGATTTAGATAGTGTTCTTGCTTACCAAGCAGACAGAATTCCCTTAATGTAAAATTAACGTTTTCATTAAGATAAATATTATTTCATAACAGATTTTTTTTTATTGTGCACTATTTTCAATCAAGCTGTTATTTTGCTAAAAAAAACACCGTAAAATACATAAAAAGGAGTCGTTTTAATCCATAACTCTTTAAAATATAACAGTGGGTACTTTGAAATGTAATGGAAATAACATTGTAGTGCAGTTGTTCATTATCAAAAGTGTCCATTGTTGAAGAAAAATGGAAGAATAACGTTGCTTTATTGTGTCACGCCTAGTTAGGACACTGTGGAAAGCTGTTTCAGAAAACAGCTTTTTCTGAAACAGCCAAACCCACTCAGGGTTCTTTTATGTTTCTGTCTCTGTAGCAAAACTCCTACTTTCCCAGCTATCTCTATGATCTTCTCTCCTACTCTACCTCATCCTTCTCTAAAGCTGCAGGGTGGCAGGTAGCAGGTCTTGAGTGTGGCAATCGATTTTCTTCACAAACATTTCAACTTTCTACACTACAGTTCTAATACTTGAGTTTTATGAAAATGATTTAGATAGTGTTCTTGCTTACCAAGCAGACAGAATTCCCTTAATGTAAAATTAACGTTTTCATTAAGATAAATATTATTTCATAACAGATTTTTTTTTATTGTGCACTATTTTCAATCAAGCTGTTATTTTGCTAAAAAAAACACCGTAAAAGATACATAAAAAGGAGTCGTTTTAATCCATAACTCTTTAAAATATAACAGTGGGTACTTTGAAATGTAATGGAAATAACATTGTAGTGCAGTTGTTCATTATCAAAAGTGTCCATTGTTGAAGAAAAATGGAAGAATAACGTTGTTTTATTGTGTCACGCCTAGTGAGGACACTGTGGAAAGCTGTTTCAGAAAACAGCTTTTTCTGAAACAGCCAAACCCACTCAGGGTTCTTTTATGTTTCTGTCTCTGTAGCAAAACTCCTACTTTCCCAGCTATCTCTATGATCTTCTCTCCTACTCTACCTCATCCTTCTCTAAAGCTGCAGGGTGGCAGGTAGCAGGTCTTGAGTGTGGCAATCGATTTTCTTCACAAACATTTCAACTTTCTACACTACAGTTCTAATACTTGAAATGTAACATTATATTACTATACTGATGGTAGTGTGGACTCTTTGTGATGCATTGTCTGAAAGTGCAAACTAACATGTTGTGCTCTTGGTATCTTGAAAGCTAATGTTTTAATTTGAACTGTTTGTCATTTTTTCTGTACAGTATGATGAAACTGGAGGACCAGGGCCTCAGGTATGAAAATGTTTCTTCTGGTAGTCTATTGTTAATATGATAGATGGCATTAGGATAGCACAAATTGTCTTGTCGGCATTGAAAAACTCATAATATTCATAAATTGTTTATATGATTTTCAGGATGGGGCTGGTTTTACTGGTCAAGCAGGATTCCCAGTAAGTACTGCATTACATACAGTGGTGTGAAAAAGTGTTGGCCCCCTTCCTGATTTCTTATTTTTTTGCATGTTTGTCACACTTTAATGTTTCAGATCATCAAAGAAATTTAAATATACTTTTTGGAAGGTGTGTTCCATTACATCTGGTGTGAAACCAACACAGCATTTCATAAAAAGAACATCATACCAACAGTCAAACATGGGGGTGGTAGTGTGATGATCTGGGGCTGTTTTGCAGCTTCAGGACCTGGACAAATTGCCATAATTGACGGAACCATGAATTCTGCACTCTATCAGAAAATCCTGAAGGAGAATGTCCAGCCATCAGTTTGTGACCTCAAGCTCAAGCGCACTTGGGTTATGCAGCAGGACAATGATCCCAAACACACCAACAAGTCCACCTCTGAATGGCTCTGAATTCCTCCACAGCGATGTGAAAGACTCATTGCCAGTTATCGCAAACACTTGATTGCAGTTGTTGCTGCAAAGCATGGCACAACCAGTTATTAGATTTAGGGGGCAATTACTTTTTCACGTAGGGCCAGGCAGGTTTGGACAGCTTTTTTCCCTTAATAAAATAAATAATCATTTAAAAACTGCATTTTGTATTTACTTGCATTATCTTTGTGTAATATTAAAATTAGTTTGATGATCTGAATCTTTTAAGTGTGACAAATATGCAAAGAATTTTAAAAACCGGGAGGGGGGCCAACACTTTTTCACACCACTATATATATATATATAACTTTATTGTCAGAATGATGTGTTTTATAATCAATCTTACACTCCATCTACTTAACCAATCAGGGCCCAATGGGACCAAAGGGTGACAGAGGAGAACCTGGTTCACCAGGCTATGGCATTAAGGTTTGTAAGCAAAAACCAATAGATAAATCCTAAAATGAAGTGTTTAAAAACCCAGAGTTCACTGCAGCATAATTTTGTTTGTAGGGGGAGAAAGGAGAATCCGGACTAATTCTTGGACCTGATGGAAACCCACATTACCTTGGTGGACTGACAGGCCAAAAGGTTTTTTGTTTTGTTTTGTTGTTTTTGGTTTGAAAGTGAATTGGATGTTGAAGTGTCCAGGAAACATACAGTTTCGACTTTTGGCCACTAAATAATTAAAATAAAAGTTCCTTTTGTGATTCTTCATATTTTTAATGACTTAACTAACATTCAAAAATGAGGAAAATACTAAAGATTAAATAGGTGTACAAACATTTTAGTACTGTACATCAAAATTAATTAGTTTTTTTCTCTCTGTAGGGTGAGAGAGGGCTTTCTGGACCAGTCGGACCTCCTGTATGTTTGTATTTGTTACATTTTTTTTTATTTTACATTAAAAGTTAACACCATCATATATTTGGAACATTCTGAGCAACATCTAAGTCATACCTCATTTTATTCAGGGTCCAGCTGGCCCTTTTGGTTTGAAAGGTGAATTTGGAATGCCAGGCAGACCCGTAAGTCTCTCAACTTTCATCAACAAAAAATATTCCATGACCGACAACAGCGAATTAGTTTTTTTCTCTCTGTAGGGTGAGAGAGGGCTTTCTGGACCAGTCGGACCTCCTGTATGTTTGTATTTGTTAAATTTTTTTTATTTTACATTAAAAGTTAACACCATCATATATTTGGAACATTCTGAGCAACATCTAAGTCATACCTCATTTTATTCAGGGTCCAGCTGGCCCTTTTGGTTTGAAAGGTGAATTTGGAATGCCAGGCAGACCCGTAAGTCTCTCAACTTTCATCAACAAAAAATATTCCATGACCGACAACAGCATATTTAACTGACTGTGTACTTAAATTCATTTTCTGCCTGCAGGGCCGTCCAGGTGTGAACGGATACAAAGGAGAGAAGGGAGAACCAGGGTCAGGCTCTGGATATGACTACCCAGTCAGTACACCACAAGCTCTTGAATTTGAAAATAAATGCAGTTTGTTCCTTTGTTGATTGTTATATATATATATATATAGCTTTTCCCTCAAAAGTTATTTTGTGTCTTTTCAAGGGTCCTCCTGGTCCCCCAGGACCCCCTGGTCCCCCTGGACCTGCTGTGCCCTTGGACAGATTCGGTGTAAGTGCTTTCTGTGTCAAATAAGCTGTAATTCATGCATGAAATGTTGCAAATTGAGCTCCATATACTGGCTATGTTGAATTGAAGTTGTCCTGATTGCAACAGCAATAATTTGCTATCTTCTTTTTCCATTTTAGAGATATGAAGATTATTCGAGGCACCATCCAGGTTGTTACAGTCATTCTTGTCACAGTAGATAATGAAAATATATTTTGTCACAAGGTCCTTAAAGTCAATGTGAAATCAAAATGTACTCTTATTTATGTTGTTAAAGTACTTTCATGATCTTACTGTACATGATTTAACTGTGAATGGTTTCTAAAAAAAAGACATAAAAATTGCTGCCTCTTAAACAGTTTTTCTTTACTGCTGATGTAATGAACTTCACTTTGGTCCAATTATTTCCCAATGGATAAAATCAGGTCCCAACCTACATTTTATTTCCCTTTCAATGACTTGTTTTGCTAAAAAAATATTCAACATTACAGGAGAAAATGTACTGAGAACTGTATTTCATATTAATTTGAACAGAAATTAGTTCAAATGTTAAAATTCTAATGTATTCGACAACATTGAACAATGTGTTGTTTTGTTTTCCTAAGCTATGAAAGGAGAAAAAGGAGACCAGGGAGCTGCTGGTGTTCCAGGATCACCAGGTAAAATTGACCACTGTTGCTGTATCTAGACATTCAGGGCCAATGGCAGGCGAGAACAACAAGGCTGTCTCTGCCTCTGTAAATTTTAGTGACTCCCTGGCTAAAGTTCCCTGACTTACTAGCTTGACATCATCGTTATTTAATGCAATAAATATTGCATATATTTTTTTCCCACAGGTTTTTCCTCTAACATTGATATATATGCCCTAAAGGTATGTGATTCTCTAAATTAAAGTATTGATGAAACAATTTGATTATGATTTATCCAATGCAAAACATGGCATCTGTTTCCTCAGAATGAGATGAAGGGGGAGCATGGTGAGCCCGGTCTTAAAGGAGAGAAAGGAGAGCCAGGAGGTGGATTTTATGACCCTCGTTTTGGAGCTGTACAAGGACCACCAGGAAACCCTGGACTTCCTGTAAGAATTATTGGGTATTTCTAGACACAACCTGAATTGAGTACTTACCTACATATGAATGGTCTCATCAAAGACATCTTTTCCAGGGACCTAAAGGAGACTCAATCAGCGGTCCCCCTGGACCGCAGGGCCCACCAGGACCTCCTGGAGTTGGTTATGATGGTCGTCCAGGAAACCCAGGACCTCCTGGAGCCCCTGGTCCTCCAGGGTCATCGTCATTGCCAGGAGCCTACAGACCACGTAAGAAAAAAATAAGTACAATTCTTAACAAACAGAATATTTTTGAGGAACTTAAATGACAGACAGTGTTGTATGATTTTTGTTTATTTTTAGAACTCAGTATTCCCGGACCTCCAGGTCCCCCTGGCCCACCAGGAATTCCTGGCACAGGATCTGGGGTGAGTGTGGGACATTGATGAAAGAAACTACTAATGGCGCGTATATGATTACACACCTGATACTTTATACTTTAATCATACCCATGGTTTTAAATGTGCCAGCAGGTGGCTTTCCTGAGGTCTTATGACATAATGATGGCTACAGCACGCAGACAGACTGAAGGTGCATTGATTTACATTTTGGACAGAAACGATCTCTACCTCAGAGTTCGGGATGGTGTTAGACAAGTGATGGTATTGTGCTCATTTTTATTCACACCTTTTCATTTATTGCAAAAATATGAAAAATGCATTTCATACATAAAATACTTAGATAATGATTTTTATATTGATCATTTGTTGAAAAAAAAATTGTCTGCCAAATTAAAGTTAATGTTGTTTTATAACCAACATACAGATTTTGTTGTCATGTGACAAGTAAACCATAAAACAGGAAATTATATTTAAGTCATGACAGTTACAATGCATTACATCATAAATATCATGACTGTCAGGGTCAGTAAGTTCGTTAAAAATTTTATAATTGCCATTTTTATGGCATGGCAGGATTTGATCTGTTTGTCATATGAGATAACCCCACAAAAATTTTATCTTATTTAATAATTGTAAATAAATAAAGAAATGTGTTTGAATATGATGTTTTTTTTTTGGAAAATAGAAAGATTCTTTCATTGCTGTAAGTCAACAACCAAACTGTTTTCTTGATGCCATCGGGGTGGCGATGACACTTGAGACTTGGGCCCGTCATCGCTGCTTGCAGCTATATTATTATTATTAGATTATTTATTTATTTGTAATAAGGAAAGTAGTTATTTAAGAACAACCCAAAAGCACTCCAGGAGTAATACAAATTTATACTTTTTTTAGTTGGTCACACCACTTGCCATTGTTCGAGCAGTTAAATCAAAATTATGGTATGATAATATAAAATGAATTTTTTTAGTTTTTCAGACATAGAAAACCATCATGAATGCACATATTTCTAGGAACATGGTGTTTTAAACTAGATTTTTTTTTCATAATTTTATGCATTATTATTTGTCATTACATTTATGCACTCTTTTTTTTAACATGTCTTCTCAAATTTTAACACAGTTTTCCTTTTATTTGCAGCTTGGGGATTATAAACCCTTCTATGGAGGGCTGGTAAGCAGTGCGAATAAAGCTCTTTTTTATGCTTTAACATTCAAATAAGCACCCACAGTTTAATCAAAGGAGGTTGGAATTAGTGGATGTGCATATCAATTCCTGAAGGTATGACTAGCTTGTTGGCTCTTCCTCAGGACAATGAAGTGGCAGCGGTCCAGCTTTTTTTTAGTTTTTCAGACATAGAAAACCATCATGAATGCACATATTTCTAGGAACATGGTGTTTTAAACTAGATTTTTTTTCCCCATAATTTTATGCATTATTATTTGTCATTACATTTATGCACTCTTTTTTTTTAACATGTCTTCTCAAATTTTAACACAGTTTTCCTTTTATTTGCAGCTTGGGGATTATAAACCCTTCTATGGAGGGCTGGTAAGCAGTGCGAATAAAGCTCTTTTTTATGCTTTAACATTCAAATAAGCACCCACAGTTTAATCAAAGGAGGTTGGAATTAGTGGATGTGCATATCAATTCCTGAAGGTATGACTAGCTTGTTGGCTCTTCCTCAGGACAATGAAGTGGCAGCGGTCCAGCCGCCCCCTGTTGTTCACTATTCCCAAGACCACACAGCTAACAATGGAGCAGAGCAGATTTCTCCACCGCACCCGCCGATCGAGTTTCCAAGGAGGGAGCCAGAGAATAGGAACCCCAATGCACCTGACTCCCGTTACCCAGATCAACGATACCCACCCTACACCGATAACAAGTACACTGATCCTGTACAACCACACAGATACCCTGTACAACCAGAGAGGAACCCCATCACTCCAGCCCGCCACCCCAGCCCCCCTGTCAATCAACCAGAAGGACACGTCCACACTTCCGGACCAGGGGTTAGTTCCATCAACTTCATCGCAACATTTGCACAGGTCCCCTGTGTTTATTTCCTTTTTGACGCCATTTTCATTTTCTGTACAGTTGCATCTTATTGCCCTGAATTCTCCACAAGTGGGCAACATGAGAGGCATTCGTGGGGCAGACTTCCTGTGCTTCCAGCAGGCTCGCGCTATGGGCCTGAAGGGAACATTCAGAGCCTTCCTGTCTTCCAAACTTCAGGATCTCTACAGTATCGTTCGCAAATCTGACAGAGAGACATTACCGATTGTTAACCTCAAGGTGTGTGTAGCAGTGTTTTTTTTTAGTATCAGTGAGATGCTATTATAGTTTTTTTTTTTATATTTTGAATTTGTTCTTGTAATTTCTTCTTTCATATTACTTTTAGTTAAAATTTTTGTCATTTTTATTAGTTTTTATGTACGTCTGTATAGTTTTATTGTCTTTAATGTATTTTTTTTATCTTTAATGTATTTTATTTATTTTATTTATTTTTTAGTTTTAGTAAACAAATAATAACCCTGTTGTGTATTCCATTACTCATACAGATATTAATTCAAGGTATTTAAAGTAATAAGCCATAAAATTACAGTGATTTTTACCCTCTTTAAGGGTTGTTTTTAAGAAGAGCACATTGCCTAATATCCCTTTAACCACTGTAAAATCACTACAATCCATTTGCTTTTATAAAGTAGAGACAACAACATGATAAAAATGTATTAATATTAATAATAAAGTGTCAGATCAGATACTAAATCTAAAATATTGTTTTTTTCCACTATGTAGAATTATTATTAGCCTAATACTGTCTGTCATATTCTGTTGCAACACTAGGTTTTCAGTGAAAACCGTTTATCTTCGTTTTACATGAAAATGTTTTTTTGCAGCCCAGTTGAAAAGTTATAATTCATGCCTTTTATGTTCTCTCAAGAAGCTTCCCTCGTTTTTTTTGTTGTTGTTGCTTTTTCAGGCTTGTGGAATTATCTGTGTTGGCACTGAGTGTTCATTTGATCTTTTGGATCATTTTGACAATTTTTCAAGACCAAACTTACCCAATGACCTCACTAGATGATCTTTAATCTTTTCATGGCATTGATATTCTCCTCTGCAGGATCAAGTCCTTTTCAGAAGCTGGGAGTCTCTCTTCAGTGACTCAGAGAGCAGGATGAAGGACAATGCTCCTATCTACTCGTTTGATGGCAGAGATGTCCTGCGGGACAGTGCCTGGTGAGTGCCAGTGGCTTTGGCTGATCCTGTGAACCCTTCAAACAGAGGCCCCAGCAGAGCATCCTGTCACTTTTCATTTTCCTTTAAAAACACTCAGAGAACTGGAGCTAGAGATGAATGCAATATAAAATATTGTTCTCTATCTATCTATCTATCTATCTATCTATCTATCTATCTATCTATCTATCTATCTATCTATCTATCTATCTATCTATCTATCTATCTATCT